CACACTGGCTGCTTGTAGAGCCCATAGCTGTGTTTGTGCGAGCGCGTACGACCCAGAGACCCAACCTCAGTCTTCTAATGTCACAGTCGGATTCAGAGCCTCGTTTTAATATCTGTCTGCAAACACTCCCCCCTTCTCCCTCTCCACCCTCATCTGCCTACAATACCTATTTCCAAAAGCAGAAGAGGAAAAAATGAAAGTTCTGAAAGGTTTGATTAAAAATTGCAAAAAAGTTTTTTCATCTTTTGTATGTGTGACATTCACCGCTTTGCTGCATTAACCGAGCACGTAAACATGTAAGCGTCATGCTTATGAGGGCGATAAAAGCACACTCCCATCAGGGAAGTCCAACGTCAAATGGACTGGTGTGAGGCCACATAATCACAAACAATAGGATTAAGAACTGGGACAATGTGCACCAAAAACAAGCTGGTGCTTTAGTTTTGGGGGTTAGAGATGGGATGAGGCAATTCCACCAAACGGGAGGGACTGAGCGTGGCGGGAAGTAATGAGGGGGTCTGAAGGTTTGTGTGTGTGTGTGTGTGTGTGTGTGTGTGTGTGTGTGTGTGTGTGTGTGTGTGTGTGTGTGTGTGTTGGGTCATGATTGGGGAGAACAATACAGCTACAGTAGCCAGACCTCATCTTAAGCCAGCCTGCAAGTGCACACACACACACACACACACACACACACACACACACACACACACACACACACACACACACACACACACACACACACACACACACACACACACACACACATGCCGGAGCTTCCAATCTGGTCATCAGGCTGTTTCTGAAGTGTCACATGGACACCGTGCATGCTGGCCAATGGCCTCTCGGCTTATCAACAAACAGAGCGGGATGGATGGATAGATAAGAGATAGATGTGGGGGTGGGGCACAGAAACATGGGGCAGAAACGGGGGGGGGGGGGGGTTATTGGCAGATGATGAGAGGTTGCAAAGTGAACATGCGATATATGGTGTGTGAGCTAAATGCAGATCATTCTCAGTCCTCGCTGTGCCATGATTTGCCATCCTGGGATATATAGAGTGCCCCTCATGCTGGAGGAATCCCTTCATAATTACTGCTTAACAGGAGCAAGTTAACAAAGAGCCTTATTCACTCTGTGGCGCGTAGAGAAGCGGTAAAATGTGAACCTTTGTTTGAACCGTGCGTTCTCACAGCAGATCAAAGCGATGGATGTGTCATGTGGAACAGAGACTCTCAGCATCTTGCTTTTCAAACAGACAATAAGTGGTGACTGCGTAACTTGTAGCGACGTGACATTTGTCTTTCTTTTAAAGGTTAAAATAGTTCAATAAGAAAATTTCATTAAAACCAAACAAATTAAAAATTAAGTATCTCAAGTGAAACAGCCTCCCCCAGAGCTACAAATAAACCTAAAACTATTTTTAATTGCAGAATTAAGGGTTTGACTCGAACAAATAAAATGCAATATTTGTACATCGTGCAATGAAGTTTGCACAACAAATCTTTCATTTCTGCATCTTCCGTGGTGCCAGTTCTACCAGTTTCCTTCCAAACGGAGCAGGGATTCACCGCGCTGCCACTCTGAGCCAGAAGCTGCTGTTCCAAACAAGCGGACACCGCGCGCAATCAGAAACAAAATTGCAGGGAGGAAGAAAAAAAAACCCGACCCTCACACATGCTTGACACCCGACACGGAAATGCCTTGTGTAAGCAGTTGACAGCGCGGAGGTTCCATCTCAGCCAATCTCTCTTCCCCTTTGATAAAAACTAACTAATGTCAGCATCTGAGGCGGTCCCTCCACCCGAGGACCTCAGACCCGGGCGTCTAGGAGTTGTTGGTTTGTAACATGTGGCAGAGGCAGTTAAAAAGAAGGCTTACTGACAAATAAAAAGCACGGTTTTTTACATTTTCTTTACGTCTAAACAGAACTTCTCCTCCCCACATGTTTTGGGATTGCTACAGTAAGCTTGGTGTTTATAAAAACCGGAGCCTGCTGCAAAACCGGAGCCTGCTGCAAAACCAAACGTATTCCAATCATGAATGCTGGACCTTCTGTGTCTGCCTGGCCTCTCTACTAACCTGTCATTTCAATTCTGCCTCACCCACTCATGCCCTAACACACACCCATCTGTTTCCACAATCCTCACAACACACCTGTGAACTATTTCAGCACACAAGGGACCCCCCCCCCCCCCCCCCCCCCCCCCCCGATTTTCATGTGAAACTAACATTTATGCAAAGCCTCTTCAACTAAAATGCTTCGAGAAACCAATAAAGAATATTCCAATGCTGGATTAGTTTCTCACAAGAAGCTTTGAACTAATGCAAAAACAAAAACGTTGATTTTCCCCTACTTGATGAAAGTCGGCAAGCTGTCCCCGACGAAGAAGTTAAACACACCCCCCTCCCCTGTTTGTCACATCAGGAAGAGAGGGAGAGAGGCTCGCCATCGGCTCCCCTGGGCCCGCCGCGGGGCGTGGCCCCACCACGGCCTCTGAAGGCCCCCGGGGTTCTTCCTGCAATTCTAATCAAAGTTTAAAAGGCTGCAACCTTGGAGCCCTAGCCTGGGCCACAGTCCGTGAGGAAGATATCAATCACGCTGCTCCAAACAAGCATGAAGGGAAGAGGGTGGGAGAGCTGAGAGCATTTTCTGGGAAAGAAAAGTTGCCCTCTCTCCGCAAATTCTCCTAAACGAGAGCAGGGTGCTTTTTCAGTTCTCGGAAATCACGAGGTAATTCAAAGTTACATTAACGCATAATGGCTGTGTGGATGGATAAATCATTAATCTGCCTGTGACGTTGCAACGCCCGCCACCAACACCAACAACACCACCAGCAGCAGCATTTTCTGAGTCACGTCCTTTCTTTTCCAGGTGGGACAGAATAAATCCACCCTGGAACGGTACGTTTGGACCCGCGAGAGGCAAATCTGCAAATGTTGCCTTTATGCCTGACGCCCAGTCCTGCAGCTGTCTAATCCTCTCGCAGGCTGTGCTTGTGTGGGGGACTCAGACAGATAGAGACATATGCCTGCACGCATGAGCACACAACAACACTCATATCTATAGGAAGGCAAAGAGGGCAGGCGGGCAAGAAGACAGGGTTTGCCTGAGTGTTAGCTTTTCCACAGCTGGGGGCTCCTGGACCTGCTCCATTCATCAGACATCCATCAAGGTGTCAGTTTGGGTTATGAGAGCCGGCTCCCAGGGAGATCACACCACTACCCTTCCTGCCAGCAGGTCTGCCTGATGGCCTTCTGTCTGAGCCAAGAAGGACCCAAAGAAAAACACACACAAAAATGTAGAGCCGATGGGAAAAGAACACAAAAGCTGCTTCATACGCGACCTTCGTCTAACAAATGGCTGTTAATAAAATGACAAAAAAACAAACAAGAGTTCTTCAACCATCTCAAATTTAAACAATCAAGAGAAGCACTTAATCATATGGGTTTAAAATATTAGTAGCCCTGTGGCCAGGGGTGAAGAACTACCATAATAGCCAGTCCCATTCTACGCGAAGGGCCCCCCCTGAACCTATTTTCCACTGGAGACTTTGGTCATTTCCATGACTGCTCTACATAACAGCCCTCCTAATGCTGAGGAGGACAGGCAAGGTAATTAATTCTCCCTGCTGCTCTTTCTCTTCCCTTCTCCTCCTCTTCGCAGTGAGGAGAAAAGTCAGGGAATGTAATTTACACTAATTACCTTTTGCAAAGGAGTCTCGTTTCAACTTTCCTTTTCATGTTGAAAAGCTGCAACACCCCAAATGAAAAATCTGCAGGGACAAAACGTCACTGCACGCAAAAGTTTGCAACCTCTTTTTTTAATAAAGTGACTCTTTTTACAAGCTAAAAATAAGAATCCACTTTTACTCACACCAATGTGTGTGTGTGTGCTTTTTAAACTACTCCAGCTGTTCTTTTCATAATTATATTGTATAAAAGAGATCATGGGTTCCCTTTAATACCAGCAGGGGGACTATAGAGTAAACACAAATTACACACGAGGCTGCTTCAAAATAAATAACATCGAGGCAAACCAAATGCATGCTACGATTTGATTTTGCATGTTTTTCCTAAACACTTGATTTCTGAGGGGGGGGGGGGGGGGGGGGGGGTTAAAAAACTAAATACCTGCAACACTTTAGCTAAATCAAACATGATGCATAATATAAATACTGCTGTGCTGAGATCACTGCATTGTAAATATATTGATTTTTTTCTATATTGTGCAACTGGATCATTCATAAATCGCAAAATGTGCACGCATATTTGCGCCTGTCGCATTGTTTGCACACGTGCAGCGACACTGCGAATAAATAACGTTGTGCATGTGTGATTTAGTCCATAATGGATGCGCAACAGACACATATTTTAGTGAAACGCAGAGTCGCGTTGTCTCTAATGGATTAGTTACAGCCACCGTGCTGCAGCGATAGCGAACAGCGGGCTGTTTAATGGACGCAACATAAATACGCACGAGTCGATGCAACACAGGACTTAAAGACGAGAAAGTGTTGCAGCTGTTTTTGGTTTTCTCTTCAATTGATGCTGAATAATCCGAGGCAGGAACGCTGACTGAAGGATGAATTCAGGCGAGACCGGGACCGATCGGTCTCGGACTCTCCTTCACAGCTTCACTCCCTCTTCACGCACAGATCTCATTTCCACCAGGAAGAAACATGAAAACAAAACATCCAATTTTAGACATCGGGACACATTTTAACGGAAGAATTCTATTTGATCTTATTTTAGGAGGACCTGCTGCCTTATCTGCGTTATTCTAGTTATTTATTTATTTGGATCAGCCTGGATCCAGAACCCCGGACTGAATGAGGATTAAATCTTTTAACTGCGTCCTTACGGGCTCCAATGCACTTTACTGTTCGTCTAAAATTGACCAAATAATAAACGATATTTGATATAACGTGGAAAGCCGAGGATGCAACTCGGTCCTTCCATGTGAGAGCTGAAATTGTGCAGCATACAAACAGAAACCACCTTACCTTCGTATACAGGGGCCATCGGTGCAAGCGTTTCTGTTATTCATGGCAAAAAATAAAGCGAGCTTTCTGTTTAAATCTCAATAACAATCTGCCATCTTGAAACAATGATGAGAGGGTCTCCTGCATTACTGGCCCGGTTCATTAGTGGAGAAAATGCTCATAATTCATGTCCAGGCGTTCAAAAAAAAAAAAAAAACCTTGAGGGATCCGACGCGATGAGCAGAGCGACAGATTGGAGACAGGCGTCTTTTTATTTAATCCCAACCGGTAGTCTGTGTTTCTGATGGCCGGATGATGCGCCACGATGACAGGTTTACTTCAGCTATTGTGCGACATGTCTGTGGAGTGAGGAGTCTCTGCAAAAGTTGCAGCAGTGGGTCGGAGGAGCGCAGCGAGTTTGCTGTACAGTGAACGAGTCGAGTGAAGAGCGCATCGATGGGGGCGGAGAGGAGAGGAGCAGGGGATGGGAGGGGAGGCGTCACCAACCGAGCTCCAAATGGGACATTAGGTAAAAAAAATGTTTACAAATATGTATAACGGGGAGAGAATCATCCTCACGTTAAATCTTAAACATTTACTATTAATAAGGGTTTGAAAAAGACAGAAAAGGAAGAACAATGAGGGAAAATCTTTCAACTGTCATTTCATTTCCAAATTATTTTGGTCCATATTTTTTCTCAAACACATTTAAGTTTCAAAATGCATTTTTAGAAGCAAAATTATGCCTCATATTGGATTTTCTTACAAATAGCCAATATAAAAGGGATTTGAATTCAATTCTGTTTCTGAATAATTTAACAGTAAATCATCTCAAAGCAATCTACAAGTACAGTTCAGTTGGATATAATTTCAACACATTTTAAAATAGAAATGTGGGACCTTTAAAATGCTAAATATTCATATTTGCCTATTATGCTGCACTGAAAATCTGGTTTGGTGTGGATTTTTTAAATTTATTTCCGCTAGCTAACTGGACTTACTTTCTTGATCTTCATCATTATTCATACTTCATCTATCAATCCAGTCAGGTCGCGGGGGCAACATCTTATAAGCAGAAAGGCCCAGACTTCCCTCTACCCAGCCACTTGGGCCAGCTCCTTCAGGGGAATACCAAAGAATTCCCTGGTCAGCTGAGATGTGGTCCCTCCAGCGTGTCTGGTCATCCCTTGGGTCTCTTCCCGGTTGGACATGCCTGGAAAACCTCACCAGGGAGGCATCCAGGAGGCATCCTTATTAGATGCCTGAGTCACCTCATCTGGCTCCTCTGAATGTGGAGGAGCACCAGATCTACTCCAAGCCCCTCCCTGGCGACCAAACTTCTCACCCTATTTCGAAAGGAGAGTTCAGAAAACCTGAGGAGAAAACTAATTTTGGCCGCTTGTATCTGCAATCTCATTCTTTTGGTCACTACCCAGAGCTTGTGACCGTAGGTGTGGGTAACGTATGGATGAGCATTATTTGGACAATTAATTTAAATATTAAATGTTATTTAATAATGATAATAATTACAAATGCAAAAACAACTGTTTCTCTGTGAAGGATAAAAACTACTTCAAGAGAATCCTCACTTCAGCTGAATGCCTCATCTTGACCAAGTGTATGATGGGTGCCAGTCAAAGGAAAAAACTTCCTTTTAACAGGAAGCAACCTCACACCCGAATACCACTAAACTGGTGGTCTTAAAAGGATTTTAGGAATGTATGAAATCTGCATATATTCACTAAGCAAACAAAAAGCTTAGCACATTCATAAATTATGACTGACCATCTGCATTCAGTTGGGAAACCTGGGATTAACCTGGCAAAGCCAGAAAACATTGTTTTTAAATATTTTAGTTACATATTTTGAGTCAAAAGTTGATTGAGAAGAAAAACTAAAATGAAAATTTAACCCACAATGTATGGGTTTTTGATTTCAACCAATCATTTGGTTGAATTAACTACAAACAATAATCAAAGGAATCCAGTTTCCAGGTAGACATTTTTATATAACACCATGGACAAAAACCTTGCTTAGCTAAAACAATTAAAAATTTTGCTAGTCCTCACACAGTATTTAGTGTGCAATCACTTGTATTCAGTGACAGAGTAATGAGAATGCATTATATATATATATATATTCTAAATAAACAGTCATTTTACTTTCATACATATCCGATCTGTTGGCCTGGTCCTGTTGAGTCTGCAGCCAGCTCTTGCAAAATGCATCTGGGTTGAATGATTCTGTCAGCGTGTTGTCAGGTCTGAGAGGCTGGAGCGCTCCTACTGTATGACGACATGAGATTTGCACAGAATGAACTGGAATCGGATTACATCGGCTCACACAAATGTGAGTAATCTGTCATTTACTGGCGATCCTGCACTCAGCAATATGCGCACCAGCATCTAAATTAAACATGTCACTTCAGACATGCAGCCAGTTGTTAACACTGAGGTGCACAGCAGTATCACCTTGTGGCCCTGGCGGGTAAAATAGGCAACACCTCTAAAAATATGAATGCAAAGAAAATGATGTAAGCTGATGAAAAAGTATTTCATGTACAAGGTGCATTAGGAAATGGCCAATTAGAAAAAGTATTGTTTGTCACAGATCATAACATTTAGGAGATGTTAAAAACACAAAATATATGAAGTCATTCATAATTTAACAGCAATACCGTAAATCCTCTAATAAAGGCCCGGGCCTGTATTTGACTCAAGCTCATCAAGCTCCAGGCCTTTATTGGAAGGAGGACCAGAATTAGAGGCAGGCCTCAATTTCTATTTGAGCAAAATGAACTAATGGTTCGCTGGAGTTTTTGACAATTAAAATTGCGCCCACATTTTCAAAGTTAAACACATTTCTTTTAACAACGGTAGTTTCTGCTTCAGCCCTCTCCCCCCTCCCCCTGTGCAGCGGCCGTAAACTCACTGATGCGCCTGCAGCCTCTTAGAGTTCCTGCTGCTCTAAACATTAAAATAATTATTTCATTTTCTGTTCCTCACTTCTGATTACCTTCAATGGTGTCTGTTTGTTGCAACAGCAGGTACAAAAACTAACTTGTTTTTATTTGACTATTTTTCTGTCCTGCCTGTTTATTATCTTCCTGCATCTCCTCTCAATCCTAAAGAAAAACTGCTACCTGGGTTCATATATATTCACCTTATGAGTTACCTTTGAACTGCAGTTCTATAAGATCTACCGACCGCAAAAACAGCGGAGTGCTCGCCGGCCACATCAGTTAGGTACGTCACTGAGTACAAAACAGGTGATGTGCCCCGATCCACAGCAACGAAAAGCATCAGGCACAAATAAAAGAATAAAAGACAGAAAACATAAAAGGAAATGAGCGGACACGAACGATCGCGTGTTAAATTAGTTTTTGAGGTGGAGACACCTGATTTGATTATGTTACTGTGGCCGTGCTCAGGACGCAGATGTCTGGAGCGCGTCAACAATCAGAGCTTTGCATGCGCAAGCTGGTTAAGGTTAGGATGGGGGTGAGGGGAAGGTTAAATTGCAAGAGGGTAAAGGTCACAGTTTGGTTAAATGTCCGTTTTACGGCGGGTGTCGGTACCGACGCTCTGGCACAGCGCGTTGCCTCCCGACGCGCAGGAGCTTGTCACCTGCTGACAGCAGGCTGCTGTCTTTTCCGTGGACTGCATCTTGCCGGTCATTATCACGTGACAGCGACTAGTCGATGACGGGCATAAAAAGTCACTATAGAGCGGTGAAGTCGACTAGTGACTAGTTCATACAACCCCTGCTACTGCTCCCCTGAGTGTTCTGCAGCATAATCAGCACGTTCTCTTTGAACTTGATATCAAATTTTCGCCTCCTCTTCGTCTCCGCACGGCTAAAGTTACCCTCGCGGTCTATCACTGGCAAATCAAAAATGAGACGGATGACACAACCCCCCCTGTGATACTTGCTTGTTACCACATTCCACCCGGCCACAATAAAAAACCATCCATTATTCACCTCCACCGACTCCGACACCGGCCAAAATATGATACCCGGCAGTTAATTAAATACAGGCTAATATTAGAGGATTTACGGTATTTCAGTTATTTAAAGAGTAAGTAACGTCTAAATTAACTTTTTTTTGCTGATGAACTGTATAAATGAGTGTCTAATAGTGTTTTAAATGTGTGTATTCATTATTTTAGTATTTTGGTGCATTTTCTTTAAAAATTAAATATTCAGCCTAAAAACCACAGTAATGCGCCACCTTCAGCTTAAAACACAGAATTTGACACATTTTGAATAAATTTTAGCCAATGGCTAAAGAGTAAGATACTACGTAAACCAGTAGAGTACTACGTAGCAGCTCTTGTGCCAAAGTTATAAAAGCAAGGAGAGTCTCGGCCACGCCTTGTGGCGAGTTGGGAGTTGGATTTGCAAGTGAGTGTCGGACGGTTAGCGGTAGTTCAGCATTAGCATATAGCATTAGCATATTATAGTCTTTAGCATAGCTTTTAGTGTTATAAATACTTATTTAGTGTTAGCTTGGCTGTTAGATATTGTAGTTTAGTTAGTGTTTGGCTTTTAGTGTTACTAGGAAAGTAGTTCGGGTTTAGTGTTCCATATCGTGTTAGTACTTATTTAGTGTCAGCTTGGCTGTTAGATATTGTAGTTTAGTTAGTGTTTAGCTGTTAGTTTTATTAGGAAAATAATTCGGGTTTAGTGTTCCATATAGTGTTAGTATGGTTAAAAGGTGTAGTGTAGTTGGTTGTGGTAGCTCTGTGGGGTTGCACTCCTTTCCACTGGACTTAGAAATTAGGCGCCAGTGGTTGCGCGCAATCGGTGTACAGGATAACAGTCAGCTCCCGCCTGGTGCTGTAGTCTGCAACCAGCATTTTACCCGCGATTCCTTCGCCAACATGATGGAGTTTGAACTGGGTTATTCTGCACGTCTCCGTTTGAAGAGTGAGGCCGTGCCCACCGTGGCTCTTCCACGAATTAGATGCAGCCCACGACTCTGCTCCCCCACCATGGCGGGCTCCAGTCTGAGGTGAGTAAGCTAAATAAACGTTTTAACATCTTCTAAAGACAATTCCCTACCTAAATGCAAAGTTTGAGAGACGTGGTTCACTTCCTTTAGCTAATATCAGCCTGCACTGCCTTCGGGCTAAATTGTCAAGTTCACAAAATGTGGAACGGGATGTAAGGTTAGAATCAGCGGCGAATCGGAACATTTCTCGAAGCCCTGGCCGACAAAAAGGTCCACATGACTATTTCTGTCAGGCTCGGAGAAAATCCGGGTTGTTTTTGTGTCAGTCGGTAATTCAGCAACAGTGGCTCTAACGCAGCACTAGTTGACAGACATCATTACAGCGTGAAATCCAGCTTTACACCAAAGCCTAACCCGGTTCTGTGAGGAATTCTGTTCAGGAGGTCGCATTTCAGGTTCTTCACATCATATGTGACTGACTTTTACGTTATAATAACGATCACACACTAGTAATGTCATAAAGCGCCTATATATATATATATATATATATATATATAAATATATAAATATATATATATATATATATATATATATATTTCGGACAGTTTCTTTTGTATATTATCTGACTTTATAAACAACAACAACAATGTGCTTCTATTTTTTTTTTTCAGGCTAAATCTACCCAAGACGTTGGCTGTCAGACTGATTTAGTAATCTGCAAAAATGCACTTGTCCAGGCTCATGTAAAGCCTTATCGACGTAGCAAAGGTGAATTATTTTTAATAATCTTCTATGTAAACATTTTATTATTACCTTCTAGTTTTTATTTGTTTTGCAGATTATTGTTACACGTGATTTTATGCTCTTTTAAACATTTATAAATGTGCTGCTTCTTTGTATTTTACATAGCCACCCAGTTTAAAGCTCACAGCCGCAGTGTGTCTTGTGACACAGGGACCGTGACGGAAATTCATCTTCCACAAAGTCCCAGAACTGCGTCCACACCCCTGAAAAGACCACGATATGAGGTGTCTGTTGTTGATCCCAGCTTCCACCTCAATGACAGTGGAAGCTCAGTGAACTGTTCAAGGTAAAAAAAAATTATAACATTTTAGAATTTTTAGTTATGACCATATATATAAATGTATGTGTTCTATACAGCTCTTTCACTGAGGTCCATCCACAAAAGGACAAGAAGTACATTGTTCATGAGAAACAGTTGCTGGGGCTGTTCAGAAGGTGTCCCGTTTGTACCGGTCGTTGTGTTGTGAACACGACAACAGTCGGCACACTGCTCCGTGTGACACAACGGTGTTCATGCTGTGAGCACTACAATGAGTGGTCCAGTCAGCCCATGGTGAACAGCATCCCAGCAGGAAACCTCCAGCTCTGTGCTGCTGTCCTTTTCACAGGATCATCATTTAGCCAGATTTCTAAGGTATAGGCCAAAACTGTTTAGGTTGGTTTTGATAAGGTCTGTGCGTCTCTCATTTCATGACGTAACTTTTCATATTTTAGTTCCTGGGTGCCTTCAATGTGCAGGGACTGTCCAAGCAGACATTCTTTCGACATCAGGCAAAGCTGTTAATTCCAACAGTGAGCTGGCAGTGGCAGCTAGAGCAAGCTGATATCATCCAGGAGGCTACTGAATCTGGACCTGTGACTCTTGGTAGTGACATGCGAGCTGATTCACCTGGTGAATACTTTTAAATTTATTTATTTTATTCCTTTGCTATCAAATGTAAATTAAGTAATAACTTGCATTTCTTGAAGGACACTCAGCCAAATATGGCAGCTGCACCATGATGGATCTCAAAAGAAACAAAGTTACTGATATCCAACTTGTACAGGTACAACATTACCTGATGATTCCAATGCATTTCATGGTTAATTATTCACAGATCAATGGAGAATTATGTTTATTTTCAGAGCAATGAAGTTGGGAATAGTGTGCGAATGGAGAAGGAGGGATTTGTGAGAAGTCTGAGCACACTTTTGGAGAGGGGGGTCGATGTGCAGCAAGTCGTGACTGACCGCCACACAGGAGTGCAGAAGTATTTGCGGGAGGAAAAAAAGGAAATCAGTCACTACTTTGACCCCTGGCACATGGGAAAAGGTAATCTTTGTGGATGTATATAGTGAATATTACAGGATTTTTTTTTCTATTTTAAATGTGGGTCTGTTTGGCTCTCCAGGAATTGGTAAGAAAATCGAAGAGCTGGGGAAGAGAAAGACGACCCAGGATGTGAGACTGTGGAAGCAAAGTGTGGTGAACCACCTCTACTGGTCGGCATCCAGTTCCTCCTCAGGACAGGAGGCAGTAGCAAAGTGGACTTCAGTTGCCAACCACATCCAAAATGTGCACAGCCATGACAACGCCCTGTTCCCTAGCTGTCTGCATGCACCTCTGGATGGAGAACAGGCAAGACAGTGGCTCAAACCAAGTAAGTGTAGCATGTACTCATTACAGCTGAGCCTTTACTGTTTGGTTTCTTTACATTTAAAACACGTCACCCCACAACAGAATATTTGTCTTCACCTCCTTCAACATGGAGAAATATTTTTGGAGCATGAGAGTTACAGACGTCACATGTGGCTGCTAAGGTCACACACCACCATTTGGCCAACAGCAATTAATTACTAAGAATAAAATGCTGTGCAGAAATTTAAACAGAAGAGTGCGCCACACAACTCATGGTTTTAGGCAGAACAGCCATAATTGACATAATATGTACTAAAATGCCGTAAGTAATTACCACACCTGTCTACAGCACTATTAGTCACTCTTTCATACATTTGTCATCTAAAAATGTCAGCTATGGGTAACTTTTTCTCAATGAAATAATAGCAACATTCTAAAGTTGATCAAATTGTAATTTTTGTAATTAACATTTTCTACGTAGGCACAGCATCATGTGAGAAGCTCACTGCCATTCTGTTAGCTCCACGGTTTGTGAAGGACGTAGAGAAGATAAGCCCTCAGTACCACACATCCACCTTGGAGGCTTTCCACAGTCTCATCATCAGATTTACTCCAAAAAGTCAGGTCTTCTCCTTCAAAGGAATGCTGTCTAGGTAATGAATACAACAAATGTTCAAATTAATGCCTCTAATTGTTCAAATTTTAGAATGAAATGTAGAATTTTGCCTAAAATCTACATGGTTTGTTTATTTGATTATTTCAGATTACAAATTGCTGCAATGCACTATAATGAAAATGCAGCACGCTCACATGCAGCAACAGCAACTGGTGAGCTGAGATATGCTGTAGTGTACCCAAAGTACAAACATGGAGACTACACAGTGAGAGCCCTGAAGACCAATCCAACCTCATGTATGTCATATATTGTATGATAAAACCAAAATGATGTCATGGAGAGCTATTGTAATACTGAAAACCCTTTTCCAGTATATGTGCACAAGCTTATAGATCTGCTGTTCGACTCTGTGGTGGTGGATCCTCTCCCATATCAGGAGTACTCGGACAAAATTCCGGTTCCAGAACCGCTCTGTGCCCAGTTCCAAAGACCAGATAAACGGGATGCTGTGAGCAGGCACAGGTCCAGGTTAGTCACAGGGAAAAAAATTGAGTTCATTTTTCAAAGTCATATTTTCTGCATGTTATTTACACATTTATGATTGTTAAAGATCCCATCTAAATATTTAGTTAGAAAGCAAAATATTTAGAGTTTAGTGTTAATTTTACAAACTACATACTTAGGTCAGACCTAAACATTTAGCGTGTGAATTTAAATATTTAATTTACTAACTAAATATTTAATTTGAAGCTAAATATTTTGTTTACAAACTAAATATTTAGCTCCAAATTAAATATTTATTTTCAGGCTAAACCTAAATATTGATTTTGTTTAGCAGCAAATTAAATATGTAACTAGGATCTGAACTTGTAAACAAAATATTTAGTTAGTAAATTAAATATTTCTTTACCAAACTAAATGGAGGATTTGACCTCAATATTTAGTTTTTAAAAATATTTACCTCTAAATTAAATATTTAGCTTGCTAGCTAAATATTTAGTCAGGAACTTTAACATTTATAAACGTATGAATACCATGGTGAAAATATGAGTTTATGATGAGCTAAATAACCCAAAATACCGCTGTTAAATTATAACATTTTGACTTTAAAAATGGCACCCCATAAGAATAAACCCACTGTGTCCAGCCTGAATTTTCCAGAAACGAAAAACATCCAGGAGTGCAGTTCTCCCATCAGCAGGCATTGTTTATTCAGGCCACTTCAAAAATAAATAAATAAATAAATAAAATTAAAAATTAAATAGAAAAAAAAACACTTAAAGGTTCCTGAAGAGACCCACTGTTGAGACGTAAACTCCTCTGGCCTGAGGGAATGAATATGAAGATATTTAAGCATTCTTCTAAGTCTATAAAATATTTAGAATATGCTGACTGTAGAATCTACAACACTTTCTCTGATATACCACAAGTTTAAGTAATTATTTATGTCAAAAACTATATTGTAGCATTTTGGACTGTGTTTACATAATATTTATCTATTAAGATTTTAGTTCCCTTGTGAGTTTACCCAGAGCTGTTTTCATGGTTGAGGGTTTTAATGCAGTTTTTTTCCTCAGTGTTTGCATTAATTTCTTCTGTTCCTCTAATCTGGTCTCGCCTGTTTCCTGTCCATTGTTTCCACCGCTCACCTGGCCCACCCAGGACCTCTCCTGATGAGTCATTGTCTCTTCCTTTCTGCCATTTTACAAGCAGATCATTGTAGTTATTTAAAACCTTGGATTAGTTGCCCAGTGCTGCACCTTAAGTCCTCATCTCATGTTCGAGGCATTACGTGAGGACGGATGTTGTCTTATAGGGTTTAATCTAAATCTGTTAGATGTTCCCCTGCTCTAACAAACCTGACTGAAATGGCCAAATTAACTCCTCAGTCAGTTCTGCAGAAACCTGTTGATTCATTGGCCAGCTCAGTGGTCTAGTGGTAGAGTGTCCACCCTGGAATCTGGAAGTCGGGGTTCCATCCTGGTCGAGTCATACCAAAGACTTTGAAAAAATGGGACCCAATGCGTCCTTGCTTGACACTCAGCCTTAAGCTCGGTTTATGCTTGACGCATTCACTTTCCGCTTGGTGATGCGGCTCGCGGACGGAACGCACTTCACAACTTGCAGCGTTTATGGTTCATGCGGCTTGTCTCTGCGGTGAGCCAATATTCTCCCAAACTGTAGGGGGCAGCATGGAGCTCTACGGCATGCATCCAGTACTACACCATAGTAGAAGTAAAAATTACTGTTGTTTACAACAGTTGTTAATGAAAGTTGAGAGCCAACTCAGCTCTTCTAGAATTGGTGGAGTGTTCTTGTTTCCACCAGGATCACCACTTTTCCGTTTGTTCCCCTTCCTTGCCTTCACATATCGGCCCCTCATGTTTTGCCAGCATTTTTTTACAGCGTCCTCGTCTTTTCCGACAGTGCGAGCTATTTCTCTCGAAGAATTATTAACAACATGTTGATCACGGTGATCTCTTGAGAGCTGAATCATACAAATATCTGTATTTACGAACCTCTGCCATACTAGTTCTTGCCAGTCCGCCATGTTTTTCCGTGTTCGACCGTCTGCGTGGTTAGAACATTTTCTAGGTGCGCGGTGTGGAAAGTTTGGGCCGTGCGGAGGCCAGGTGGAAGGGCGTGGTTGTTAAAATAACGCAATTTTGCTGCGCGGAGCCGTGCGAACCTCGCGGACGCGCCAAGCATAAACCAACCTTTAAGGGGTTTGATTGGGGGGTTAAACCACCAAATGGTTCCTGAGTGCAGCTGTGTCTGCAGCTCACCGCTCCCCCATAGAAGGGGTCAAATGTGGAGAACAAACTTCACACACACCAGTGTGTGTAACAACTAGTGGGACTTTAACTTTTAACTTTAAATCACGCCTGGTGGAGAAGAAAAACAGCTTAACCAGCATGGTTGTGACTCTAGGATCAGGGGAAGTATAATTTTGCCAAGTTGCATTATAAAAACATGCAACTTATTCAATTTATGAGAAATGAACTCCAATTATCCAGGATGTGCCATCAGTTGCAAGGATTCAAGTGCACACTAAAACTATTATAACAATACAACTAAACAGTGCGATGACGGTATGGTTTTTATTTTCTTCATCACACCTGTAGTTAGAAATACAATCAAATGGATTTATTACCTTCCACCATTATTAGAACACATTCAATCTTGTTTTAATGTGAGGACTGCATGGTGGTGCAGCTGGTTGCACCATTCGATGTCCTATCTGCAGGTCTTTGTGATCAGAGATTGCATGCTTGCATTTTCTCCAAGAATTGTGGGTTTCCTCAGACCAAAGCCGTGCATGTTAGGCTGACTGGCAACCATAAATTGAACCCAGGTGTTAGTGAGTGAGCAACTGGTTGTCTTTGCGTGGACCTGCGGTAAACAGGTGACCTGTCCAAGATGTCCTCTACCTCTCGCCCAATGACTGCTGGAGTTCGGCATCTGCTTCCTGCAAACCTACTGAGGAAAAATGGTTCAGAAAATGAGTTAGAAAGGGAGTAGTTTAAGTGAAGTTGTAATTTAAACCATCAGCGCAATAACTGATCATGTTCTAGTCAGCCCCCATGCACAGATGAAACTATCCACGTTATACAAGCTCTAAGTGAATCTTTATGTCAATGATGTAAAGATGCTTGTGAGAAAATCTGCGTATTTCTTACAAAATAACCCAAAACAATTGATTTATTACATATTAATAAGCAACTGGAGTTTTTTCCTCTAAGGAAAGAAAAAGAAAAACACAACTGCGCCCTCTTTAATTCGCTTAAACATGTGCGCTCACATTTTAGATCCCCATGAATTACAAAACTGTGAAAGTGCTCACCAGGCTCAAGTTGAAGCAAGATGCAACCCTGCAAACAGTATTTCTCAACCGTTTAAGAAACCGCCTAATGGTTGAATTTCACCTTTCACTTTTTATAAAGTGTTTTTTTAATGTAAATCCGACAACTCCTAGAAAATATGGCGTCCAACGGGCAATCAAAGCGATGAGGTTGCACCCCACTTTTGCAATCGGTTTAATTTTTAAACAGTTCTTCAGCTTTCAAGCACAGAGAATTCACCCAGTCAGGGCTACTGGAGGCACGCAAACAGACATACAGTGTGAGGAAATTTTCTTGATTATTGCAGCTCTTCTCTCCTGCTTTCATCATGTTGGAAAGGTCAGGGCAAAAATCTCCCACAGCAATGACAAAGCACAGATTGATGGAGTCCATGTTCATCAGTCCAACTCTTCATTTATAAAAATAAAGGCAGAACACTTAACTAATAAAAGCTTGTCTTAATTTTCACTTCATAAAACTCGTCCAAGTTAAAGCTCAGTTTTTGACTAAAACTGTCATGAGTTCACTGGCGGATCCGTAAAAAACACCCAACGCAGAAAGACAAGTTTAAGAATGTTTATTAAAAGGGGAAAGGCAAAGGCTAGGTCAGGAGACAGGAGGTCGTTACCAGGAGGTCTGAGGTGGGAATAGTACGACAGGGAAATCCAAAAGGCGAGGTCGGAGACGAAGCAGGATTCGGGATCGTCGAAGACAAGGTGAGTAACAGGCTGGAGAATTTACCAGCAGGGCGTTCAATAATCTGGCGGTGGTTGAAGGGCAGGCTGGGGTTTAAATAGTAGAGGAAACAAGTGTGGAGGATGAGTTGATGACAGGAACAGGTGGAATGAATGGAGCTGATGAGGTGCGGGCTGAGGTTGCTGTGGCAACAGGTCACGGCAGGAACAGGATCATGACAAAAACGTAAAGTTTCCTCCAGCAAACATGCCAACATAAACAGTAAGGCCTAGTCCACACATAGCCGGGTTTTTTTTTAAAAAACGAATATCCGCCCCTCCAAAAACTTGCATCCACACCACCTCGTTTAAAAAAAAAAAAACTCTGTCCACACAGTACCCGGATAAATACGTTGTTAAGGACATGCCAGACCTGTAGGCGGCAGTACTTCCCCCGTTCTTAACCTCGTCCTTCGTCTGTGGTCTTCTGCAAGGAGCAGTAATTCCGCTTGCAAAAACAAACAAGCAGAAAGCGCTTGGACAATTGATAAAGCGAGCGCAGCTCTGAGGGCATCCATGATGTCGGCTAGTGTAAACACAGGTCGCACACGTGATGTCAGCATTTTTTTGTCGCGGAAAGTGACGTTGCGGACCTTAAAACTGCGGTTTTGTCTGTCCACACGCAGACACCCAAAACGGAGAAAACACAGATCTTCACTTTGGCCGGAGTTTTTAAAAAGATCCGTTTTCGTGTGAAAAAACTCAGTTTTTGTGTGGATGACAGGCCAAAACGTAGAAAAATACCTACGTTTTGGCAGATCCACGGTTACGTGTGGACAGGGCCTAATATTATAAGAGCATGGTATAAATTCACATATTTGATCAAATGAGCCTGGATATTTATCACAGTGGTCTAACTCGTCACCAAGAGGAAAAAAACTCTGTTTGGAGTCACCTTGTACATTGCTATGACCTTCTAATACTTATTCCTCTAAGTGCTTTTGATTCGTAAGTCACCTAAGAGCCAAATTGTAAGATGTGCTTTTTTCTTTTTCTTTTTATCTGGGAGAGGAAAGGAACACGCCCTGGAACAAAGACGGTTCCCTTTAACTGTCACCATGGTGGATCACTTATTTGATGCTCCCCCTTCTGCGTCATCTTCTCTGCCAGCATCCGCCTGAATGTCATCTGTCGTCACTTTGTAGATCTCTATAAATATGAATTGTATGCTGCAGGTAGGATTCAAATGGCTACGCTTCTAAAACTTCACGGTGTGGTTAGACACAAGGAAGTTTTCCTGAGTAGTGATTGCTTCACATTTAAAATTTAGTCCTTGAGTTCACTAAATTCAGCAGAGCTAAGAGCTTAATTAGAAGCATCTTTCTGTAAGAAATTGCTTCTAATTAAAGGAGTAAACAGGTTTGAATAAGTCAAGACATTTCATAAAAATAGGACTGAGAATTTTATTCTGTTACTAACAGCTCTTGTTTTTTCTACCAGCTGATGTAAAACGAAGTTGCAGATTGTTTGAGTTGAAACATTTTTTTGATTTTAATTACATTTAAGCCAGGAAACGGAATCAATTCTCTGCTCATTTAGCTTTTCTGTGCTAGAAGAAAACATTATTCAGTTTCCACTGACCTCTCACTTTCTGTTTAGCTCTGAAACTGCAGATCTGCACTGATTCAAACCTCCACTCTACTCAACAGCTGAATCCCACAGGTCCAATTACCTCACACACACACACACACACACACACACACACACACACACACACACACACACACACACACACACACACACACACACACACACACACACACACACACACACACACACACACATACACATACACATACACATACACATACACACACACACACTACAGCTGGGTTGCTTCCTGGATCTGTGTGATCCATGACATCATTCACGTATCAATGGGAATTTTCTTTTAGAAGAATAACTTTTCCATACCTGTTTGTTTTGTTTAAAAACATCACAAAACACGCCTCAGCCCGTTCCCCAAGCGATCTTTTTCCACGTGTGGTTTGAGCAATCTGGTGTGTGACCAGTCTGGTTTTACTTCTGGTTATGATATTTGTCCAGAACATGAAACCAGTGATATGTGTTGACCTTTGTTTTGTGTAGGGCAGCTTTCTAAAGTTAAACTTCTTCATATTTTTTATTCATTTTCTTGAGCCAGTGTGTGCCAAAACGACCCTTTTCAGGGTTAATGAAATACCGCCCAGCCCCTGTCGCCCCCCTGTGGCCAGATTTTAGAATAAAGTAAGTTTACATACCTGGCGC